CTGTCTGTCTGTCGGTCTGTCTGTCTGTCTGTCTGACTGTCTGCCTGTCTGCCTGTCTGCCTGTCTGTCTGTCTGTCTGTCTGTGTGTATGTATGTATGTGGTATGTGTGCGTGCGCACACGCTTGTCCACCTGCATGTATGCAAATATGTGTGTATCTGTGCAATCATGTGACATTACATATTATTGCTTCTGTGTTTACGAACTGGCTGAAGCCAACGTAGCGGACGTCCGATATCATCCGATACTGCCTGGGCTCGTAGGCAGCTCCTCGCTGCTTGCCAGGCCGCGGTCCTTCACTTTCGTGCGCTTGCGAAACAACAGGCTTGGCTGCACGTGCGAGACTGCATCCAATATGATTCAATGCTCTCAGCAGAACAATCTTTCCGTACAATATGTCATGCGCTTGATCGAGCTCCACCTGCACTCAAGCCATGAATAGGCAGCCATTCCAGTGACCACTATTGACCCGACATCATAGCTTTCAGATTAGATTCTGCCGCGCACCACGTTCACGGATCGCTCGCACCAGCACGAACATACAGATGTAAATGCACGCATACGAACACTGGCATACACACATGTGCACATGCGACACGATGGCAATTGAACAAGGTGCCTATTAGAGCGCGCAACGTCTGTCCCGTGCGCTCACTCGTTCATCACAGTCGCTCGCCCACCGACGAAGCATCTTGGATCTGCATGATCTGCTCTGGGAAGTCGGCAGCTGGGGGAGGCGACTTTCTTGTCGTTCAGCTGTGCATCCGGCCGTTCATCTGCTGTTGTGCGACAGACTACCAGTCAAGTTCAATGTGGATCTGTTGGCACTACGTGCATTCTTCACTGTCTGTTCTGATTGTCTGCTTGGTCTCCCGCGATTGGTCCCGTGCGTGCAGCCCGCTACCAGAAAGAGGCGAACAGTCTCAGGCCGCGAAGAATCCATTGTAGCCAATATATCATGTTGATCTGTCTTCCTGGAGTGCTAAGTCGTAGCAAGACATCAACTCGCGCATACAGCTTTGCCCACACAGGCCTTCCGCAGCGTCACTTGGGGAGCCGATTGCGTCACCGTCCTCCCAGCGGGGCCAATGCGTGCGGAGATGCCAAGCTCCCGAGTCCCGACAACTTTGGATCCGCTCCTCAAGACTTTGTGGTGCTTGTGGTAGGCCTCGAACTTCACCATAGAAGAAGCCTGTGAAGCAGCTGGGCTCTGTGGTCACGACATTGACCCGTCACAGCGTACGGGCGGAAACTTGCGGCACCTCGCAAACAAAAAAAAAAACTGTACAAGTGGATGCTACAAGTAAAGTGGATGGATGGATGCATGCATGGATGAGTGCAGCATGCGAAGAATACGCATGCACTGCCGCATGCACGTCTGTTCAGCTACGGCATGTTCCGTGTCTTCAGACATGACAACGGACAAGCGGAACCTGAACCGGCTGGGGCTGAGGGAAAGCAGAACTCATGTACAACGAGTCCAACGAGATTTGTCCCCGAAGGGGCTGAGCTGAACTAGTTTTCGGACGTGGAGCTGTGAGCTCTGCGAAGCCGCCAAGCTTTGATCCACTGTTCACCTCACTTCAAATCGCGTACAATGCCAAAAGCACTGGGATCCCACAAGCCCGTGTCGCAAAACTACCCAAGTTTCCTGAAAGGCTCTACAGTGTCTACAGCTTCAGACTTCAACTCCATACCCCCCAACTTTTGAATCCTGTGCTGCCGTGTGCACTCACACGGTAAGCACGAGAACCAGGAATGGCGAAAG